CTAGCAAGCCACGCATGCTTGGCTTGACGTTGCTTGCTAGCCTGCCAGCCCCTCGCACACACTCTCGCACAGCCACACGCATCATGCGTGCATACGTCTCGCCCAGGCACCACGCACCACGCATGTGCCAGTGCCTAGCACTAGCTGTGCTTGGTGTGTGTGGCCCTGCCATGCGTCCATCACTATGCTAGGGCTGCTATGGCACCAGGCCATCCTAGGGCACGCATGGTGCGCCTAGTGATGCTGCTTGGGCTGCGATGGCGCCCAGCCATCATAGGCCACGCATGGTGCGCCTAGTGATGCGCATAGGCCTGCGATGGGCCTGCTGGCTTGCGATGGCGCCTAGCATCATGCTAGGGCCGCGACAGCGCCCAGGCATGATGCTAGGGTTGTGCTGGCGCGGCTGGTGCTAGCGATAGCCAGCCATGGTGCCTAGCCATCATGCTAGGGCTGCCATGGCGCGCCTCGTGACTATGATGAGCTAGCTTAGCCTAGCTATGGCTATGCTCATACTTGTCGATTGTGATTTTGCGACGCTCGGTCTCGACACCCTCGGCTCGACTTCCGACGTCTGAATTCGTAAAACTCTTTCGACTCATTAAATCCTTTCGGATTAATTCGACGTCTCGGATCGGAGATTCGATTGGGTTCGACCCGAAGGGTTCAGTTAACATTAAGCTGTAATATCAATTGTACCTTGATATTACTGATCGGAAGCGGCCTCCACCTAGGCATTCCGATCACTTGACCTTACTGAAGAATTACCTCTGTAATAATTTTGAACCCTCTATCGGAATAATACACTTGTTGGAAGGACACCATTCCTTTCATATTCAAGCCCCTAACATTCCACAGTAGGATCTTATCCATTGGACACGGAGTTTGTATTCTCCATGTTATGGCGTACCACCCCATCTTCCTCAATTAGAATAGGTTGAAAAGTATTAGATGTATGCAGACTCGTGGGCCTAGCATTCGCTTTTGAACCCGTACTCTTCTTTTTAACTAGCACAAACCCTTCATCCTCAGCCGATCCTTCAGCCTTTTCAGTCAAAGTTTCTGACTGTTGTGTTGAGGTTTCTGCTACCTTGTCATCAACCACTGGCTGTGGAGCTTTTGGCCGCCACACCTTCACAACAGGCCCTTTCTTTTTGTTGTTATATTCCTCCTTTGAAGGAGGGTGCCATTCATACTCCACCCTATAAGATACTAACACTCCATGCTCGTTTTTGAATTGAACATGGTCAGGGAACGCCTTGGTGATATTCATTTCAACAAGAACTGTTGCAAATTTGATCTTGTCACGATTTTGCGTGGCTTTGTCTAACCTCACAGGATCCCCCAGTTTCCCAACTAATGTCATAATACACCCCCAATACTTCAAAGGCAATTCATGCAATTGAACCCAAATCGAAGCTTTTTTAAAGTCCTTGGGATCAAAATCCATCTCTTCATCCCACGGTTTGATAAACACAGGATGACTATCAAATAACAAATGTTGAGCATCAACAGCCTTTTGCCAAGCTTCCTTGTTAAGAAATTGAACCAGAAACATGCTTTTCTTGATATGTATCACTTTATCTACCTGTTGCTTGCCCTATAAACGCTTAGCCCTTTGGTGATCCACTATTGGGCAACACCTTTAAGGGTTGTAGGGAAGTATTTGCACCAGGTATCTTCGGACCAGGGGTTAAGGTACATATGCCCCTCGTAGGAGGCTATGTGATCCTTCGGATCCGAAGTACCGTCATATGTAATGTGTGCCGGAATTTTAACCGTCGGCATGTGTTCCTCCAGTATCCACCTTTGGAATGGGGAACTGGTTGGAACCATTACGGCCTTTCCCTTGTGGCCGCGCCAAAGGAACCCTGCTTCTCCCTCTCAGAGAGGTAGATGCAGGAGGTGTCCCTTCGCGTGACATAGAGGGCTGAGACCCTTCTGGATAGGTGAGGCGACTATGCACCCCTCCTTCTTTGCCACCTAAGCGCTCATGAACGCGTCGGCGAGAAACATTGTGGCTGTCATGATGATCCTCGAAGTTCTGAGCTTTGGAGTTTTCGAAGTGGCTGGAGCCTCTCCTCTGACCCTGCCCGGAACCGCCTGGATGCCCAACCCTTCGGCTGCCTTCCCCCTTCGAGGACGGAGCCTGCCTCTCTCCCTCGGTTCCGCTTTTCCTCTTTCGATCATGCGATCTAGGAGGGGGAGAGGGTGATTTTTTCGTTGATGGGAAGCGCCCTCCCAAAGCATTCATAAAGTCCATGCACACAGCCATGGCCTTCATAACCTCCTCGGTTGACGAACCGGTAGGAGGAGTTGAACGCATGCTAGGTGAAGGGTCACGCTTTCGAGCCTCGCTATCTCTCGGCGAATTCCCGTTTTGGTAATCCCGTTGGAAAGGAGATCTCTCACGCATATTTTCTCCTCTCGGGGAGTTGGAAGTGGTCGGTTCAGGCGACGTCGAAGGTGTTCTACTGGCCCTTACCGTGATTAGGCCCATCTTCCTAGCTTTTTTAGAGCTCTTTGCACTCTTAGTCATTTTTTGCGTTGGCTAAGATTAGTATGAGATTTTTGGCTGAATTTTTGTAAGTGTCCCCACAGACGGCGCCAAGTTGTTTCAGTTAAAAAACAATGGACCTTTAGCAGGTCCCTCGGATGAGTGGATATGAAGCCCAATTCGAGTGATGACCGAATTGAGGATTTCCTGCGCAGCTAAACACATGTAAACTGGCCTCGGGGGTTGTGCCGAGGAAGGCCCCTCCGATGCCGAAGTCAATACGAATGCAAGATAATGAGAGAAAAGCTATGCAAGAGAGTTTGTTGCTTGAGGCCTTTTATGTGTATGAATCTGATTGTACAAAAATGAAAGCTTTTATACCTTGCTTCAGTTAGATGGATGGGGCTTGAGGAATCAAATGGGTTGTCATTTGATTGGGTCTTGCTATACCTGACTTGACTAATTTGCAATGAGGGTTGAACCTTGCCTGTTGAGCTTTAATTATTTTCATTGTGGACCGAGCCCAAATAAAAGTTATTTGGACCCCAAACACAAGCAAAATGTGATAATTGTCATCAGCGTCTCCCAACAATTGTGCTTCAAAAAACTTATATACGGGTAGCTATCTCCCACCAATAATTAAACACTTTGGTTAAAGAGCTTTCCAGGGGGGTTGCTCCTGTTCACAGGAATTTGAAGAAAAGGGGTGTTTGTATTGATGATTTGTAGCCTGTATGTGGTGAATCTGTTGAAACTTTGATGGACATTTTGTTTTTGTGTAACTTAGCCAGGGAGCTTTAGTACTTCTAGCCACTTCTCCTTGATACAATGAAAGGTGAGCATATGTCTTTCAGAAACTCATCTTAACCCATTGATTTTATCAAAACAAATGTAGAGAATGGTGGGATATTTTCTGGAGTCTTCTTTGGGGTATTTCGTTGAGAATAAATGTGTAGAATTTTGAAAAAAAGATGATAATACAGATTAAAGAGGTGATTCGCAAAGCAGTAAACATTGTGGGGGAGTACGCCAATGCTAATGAGAAAGGCCCTTTTGAAATTTCCATCAGACCTCTTGTCGGTACCTCTTGGGTGCCTCCTGCTAGTGGCTTCTTTAAATCCAACTCTGATTATAAATGAAATTTAAAGGCATTAGTGCTTTTAAAAAAAATAATTAAAGGCACTAGAGATTTACAATGACTGAAAACGAAATGCATTAATGATTGTGAAAAAAGGAAAAGTTAAATAAGCATTGATTGTCTTTTTAAAAAAATAGGGAAAAAAATAAAACAAGTAATGGTGAATAGAAACGCGGATCTTTTCTATAACCAATACAAACTGAACCACTAAGCCACATTTGGTATATATATGTATATACTACCTCCATTAACTATTATGTGTAACAAATGGGTTACACACGGACTCCTAGGCAAAAGTTTTTAAGCATGATTATTGAAATATAAGGGCATGTAATTAAGTATTAATCCAACTAAAAAAAATCACAATTAACAAAAACCAGCAAACCCAAAACCTAGAATCACCAAAACCACCGACACCCACAACTAACCGCCACCAAAACCCACAAACCCACAACCACCACCACCACCACCACCAAAACCTGAACCCACAACCACAACCACCACCAAAACTTGAACCAGAACCAAAAACCACAATCACCACCAAAACCACTGAAACACACAACCACCAAAACCAGAACCCACAACCACCACCAAAACCCACGAACCCCCACCAAAACCCACAAACCCCCACCGAAATCCACGAACACCACCAAAACCCACAAACACCACCGAAACCCACAACCACCACCAAAACCCACCAAAAAATTTCATTAATAAAAACTACGATCGCTGAGTAGATCTTGTATTGTGCAACATCTTCGCTTATATCGCTGGAAATTACAGCCTTATTGGAGAGACAATCTAACCATTCTTTATAGCCGTAAGGATGTTTTCCCACTAATTCATTTGATTGTGTTAGAAAACTTGATAACCTTTTGCGATTCGCATACAATTTCACACAATCCATTAGATATACAATCACAGATTTAATACTAAGAAATAATTAAATTTCTCTCTCAAAAAGAGAAGATGAACCTTAATTAGCTTGTCTTTGAAGGCAATCGAAAAACTATTGTCTTTTGAAGGAGATCGGGAACAATTTCTTTTAAGGGAGAAAAGTTTCTATCATAAGGAGGAATCATTATTTTAAACTTAAAAAAAAAATAAAAAGCCAAGATTGGGGCTTTTCACCGGTTAAAACTGATAGAAGCCCCTTCAAAAATCAACAATGGAGGCTGGGGTTTAAAAAATAGGAAGGAGGAGAGAAAAACAAACCGTCTATCAATTCATTGACCTTTTATTTTTTACTTATACAAGCAAATGTTATAAAGGTACAAAGTTAAGCAAACCAGTACTTGTTATATTTCTGTAATACTTATAGTCCTTTATTATTGAAAGATGAGTACAAATTTCTGCATCTGTTTTAAGTTATATCGAATCTTCGAGGAATGGATAATCGGTATAGCCAACAATAGGATCAGAAGTATAGAAGGTATCTCTGTTATACTTATTTAGTGGTGCATTAAGCTCAAATCTATTAGGCAAATCTGGATTAGCTAAAAACAAGCGACCATAAGCTACAAGATCAGTGCAACCCTTCATCACAGCCTTGTTTCCGTCTTCTCTGTCGTATCCTCCAGCAGAAATGAAAGTACCATTGAAAGCTTTTCTCATGGGTAGTAAACTTTGAGAAGATTCCTCTTTCTCCCACGCAGTAATCATCCTAGGTTCAACCATATGACAAAAAAGAATTCCACACTTGCTGAGGCAATTAGCCAAATAAAGGCCTAGAGCTTCTGGATTTGAGTCTCCTGATTCATTATAATTTGCAAAGGGAGAGATTCAAATCTCAACCCTATTTGCACCAATCTCTTTTGCAACTACTTTAACTACTTCTAGAGCGAATCTACAACGATTCTGTAGAGATCCACCATAATTGTCAATTCGGTCATTAACTTGGTCTTTTATAAACTGATCAATGAGATAGCCATGAGCTCCATGTATTTCAACACCATCAAAGCCTACACAAAGGAAAAATACAATTGTATAAAGTGATCACGAGACACTTCAAATTAATGATCACACTTATATATCATGCTCTTAACCAATAATCATAACCATTCTCATTTTCTTTCTTACTATATCTTTGTGATCATGCCCTCATTTGCAACCACATTTTTTTTTTCAAATTGCAAAACTTACCAGCTTCTATGGCATCCTTAGCAACTAGCCTAAATTCGTTCACAACTGAAGGTATCTCTTCTGTTATTAGCCGCCTTGGCGTTAGAATAATGCACATTATTTATACCCGTAGGTTGATCTTGTCGTGTCAAGGGCTTATCAGTGCAAGAGATAGGAGATTGTCCATTTGGCTGGAAACCTGTTACAACAAGGAAGTTTTGTGAGAAAAGAAAATAAAAAATAAAATTACAAAAGAAAACTAGTGAAAGTATTTGTAATCGAGCCACAAATGAAAATTTTCAATTAATCTTTGAAACCAGCAGCCAACTTGATTTAGGAAAATTAATTAGAATTGAAAACAAGAAGTAAAGAACACATACATGGTTGATAAGGCACTTATTGATAGCAAAAAAAATAAAAGTAATAAAAAGAATCTTGCAAAATCGGGCACCTTTAATGCCTGCTTTTGGTCAACTTGTTTCTTATAATTTTAAGAAATACAGATTCAGATAAGTCTAGACAAGTTGAAAGTTAATAAGGAGATAAGTTAGATAAGAAAGTTATTTGCAAATTACTCATACATAAAACAATGTTTAATATTTGGTATGCAAAACAACCTTGTCCTAATAAATGCCAAAAGATTTATCACCACCAAAAAAAGAAAATCAATCGATCATATAAAATATAACGATTTGAGATGATTCAAAGGAGTGTCAAAGTTTGAGTTAGTTACTTTCATTCGAAAGTCGTCCAATATGTCATATGCCGCCTTTGGCATGCACAGCATCAACAATAGGTTTCCATGCTTCGATTTGCTCCCTTGTCCATATGCCTGGTGTGTTTTTGTACCTAAAGAATCAAGTTGCTTTAAAGTTAAGAAACAAATATAATTTTTTGTTTGTCACTAAAAATAAAGAGTACTCATCATAGAAGATAGTTGCCTCAAACGTACCCTCGAGCAGTTTCAGAAATTACAGTTGCTTCGGATATGAGCAAACCTCCATTTGTAGTTCTTTGAGAGTAATATAGAATTGCTTGTGGTTGAGGAACATTTCCATATGATCTCATTCTAGACAATGGGGCTAAAACAAGCCTGATTACAATAATAAGGCAAACTTAATTATTCTGTAAAAAAAACAAAAAAAAAAAGAAAAAGAACCCTAAACTTGTTTGAATAACGGAAAATACTTTGTGTTATAAAAAAAAGTGATATTATAAATTTTTTTTTTGGTGCAAACGAGGGGCTAGGCCCCAAATAAAAGCAAAAACAGAAAAGACTAATGAGAAACTAAACGCGACATTGCCACCCCAACAACATCATCATATAAAATTCGACCCAATGGTAATGGGGGGTCTTGAATCAACTCGATCTTGTTGTTCTGAGTAACACCTTGATTTGCTAGCCAGTCTACGGCCTATTCGCTTCCCTGTAAATATGATGGACTTCCACTTCCCACTTCGCATCCTCTAGCATCTCTTTGCATCTATTGATAATATGGACACTTTCACCTCTATAGTTGCTTGCACCATTTAAAGCCTGTACTAAGGCCTGATTGTCAATTTGTACCTGCAGCTTCAAGGGATTAAGTCTTGCAGCCAATTCCAGACCATACTCTACAGCACGAGCTTCGGCCATGAATGCATTACATGCCCCAAGTTTGAGAGAAAAGGCATATAACAACTTTCCTGTACAGTCTCTAATCACCCTTCCCCCTCCAGCTGGTCTGGGTGCTCCCTTTGCAGCCCCATCCGTATTTATGGCTAGCCACCCTTGAGGAGGTCCGATCCATTTAACAAACTTTTCACTTCTTCCCCCTGGTAAGGGACCATTAGTGTTCCCCCCATCCCCTAGCACACGCCATGCTTCTTCAAATTTAGCAAGTAAAATTGACTAACATTTATGGGATTATCGTTGCTCTTACCAAATATGATGTTTTTTCGCCACTTCCAAACCCGCCAGCATACAATAGCAAAATAGGTGGGCCAAATTTAAGGGAAGTGATCGTTTCTTACCTGAATTTTTATGTTACGAACAACCCATTGCAAGCTTCTAATGCTAGCAGGGCCCCCGATTTGGTTCCATATGTCCCTAGCCATAGTACAATCACGAAGTAGATGAAGAATGGTATCGTCATGGCTATTACAGAGCTTGCATCTAGGATCATCCGTAAGGTTCCTCTTAAATCGTTAACATTAGACATGATACGATCATGCAGCACCAACCAAATGAACACCCTTATTCTTTGGCCACCCTTAGTCTCCATGCTAGCTCCCAACTACGATCATCTATCACTTCGTCATCCTTCTTAATAATCCTCATGGCCGACTTGATAGTGAATCTTCCCTTGGCTGAACCACCCCAGTAGATGGGGTCTTCTATGCTGGAATCCGGTTGGACAATGTAGGCTTCAATCCTTTGAAGAGAATCACCAGGTAGCAAGTCAGCGAAATTTTCCCACTTCCAACCAAGATTGTTGTCCCACATCTCACTCACCGTAGCCCCCTCTATTTCTGGAGGGATGGCACCAATGGCAAGGCTTCTTAAGGTATGGTCTCCCACACATTTATGATCCCAAAAAAGAGTACTAATTCCATTATTCACAGCGACTCTCGCACCTTCGTAAATATGCACAGCATTTTCTGTTATCCCCTTCCATACGTTGGACATGTTCGATTTTGTTTCAAACATATCAAGATCACACCTACCTTTACAATACTTTGCTCTTAACACCGTTGACCATAAGGAGTGAGGTTCAGTGAGAACCCTCCACCCCAGTTTGGTCAAGAAGGCAGAATTAATATTTCTCGATGATCGAATTCCTAGACCTCCTTGCCCCTTGGGTAATTGAAGTTTATCCCAAGGTAAGAGATGTATCTTGCGATGATCTTCACTTCCGCCCCAAATAAAACGCCTCGTTCTTTTATCAATTTCATCGCAAACACCTCTAGGAATTTTAGCAGTCTGCATTGCGTAGTTGCTCATGGTATTCAATGTTGACTTTGCCAGAGTTATTCGACCCGCAAGAGAAAGAAACTTTGATTTACAGCCCGACAGTCTCCTATTGATCTTTTCACATAAATAAGCAAAGGTGTTCCTCGTCACTCTACTAGTAAGCGTTGGCATACCAAGGTAAGTGCCAAAGTCCTCAGTTTCGACAATCCCCAGGGCTGTGCTAACCCTGTGTTTGTTCTCAGGGGGCATATTATTTGAGAAGTAAGTGCATGATTTACCGTAGCTTATCTTCTGGCTAGAGGCACCACAAAACCGAGCCAAACAATCATGGATAATGCGAGCTTGCTCAATCGAGGGCTTCCGCAAAGAGAACAATATCATCGGCAAAGCACAAGTTAGACAACTTCGGACCCTTTCGGCTTGCATAAATCGGTCTCCATTTATTCCTAATAATGGATTCTTCTATGATGTGGTTAAGGCGCTCCATACAAAGCACAAAAATATAAGGCGATAAAGGATCACCTTGGCGAATGCCTCTTTTCGGTTTGAAAGCTCTGGTTGGCTCTCCATTCCATAACACACACATTGAGGTTGTAGTAATACATTCCATAATAACCTCAATGAGAACAGGGGGAAACCGGATTTCAAGCAAAGTGTCACGAATGAAATCCCAACGAAGCCGGTCGTAAGCTTTTTCAAAATCAATTTTTATAGCCATAAAGCCCACTTTACCAGATTTGTTTTTCATGGTGTGTATGACCTCTTGAACAATAACGATATTATCAGTTATCTGCCTTCCTGGAACAAAGCTAGTCTGATTACATGAAGTGAGATAGGGCATCATTGGTCTTATACGGTTGACAATAGCTTTGGTTATGATCTTGTAAGCTACATTACAGAGGCTAATCGGCCTAAATTGCGAGGCCAATTCCGGAGAGTCCACCTTTGGAATAAGCACTAACAAGGTGTCATTCAAATTTTCTAGCATCCCCTTCCCTGCTAGCACCTCCAACGCAACCTTATACACATTATCAGCCACTAGATCCCAAGGTTTTTGATAGAATAGAGCCTAGAAACCGTCTGGTCCAGGAGCTTTCAAGGCACCCATATCCTTAATGACCTTCTCGATTTCACACTTAGAGAAAGGGCAGGATGAAAAATCCCAGTCTCTAGAGGTGAATTCCTGGAAAAAATCAGAGGGCAGATCAGCTTGAATAGCCTCCTCATAATGCGTGAAGAGTTGCTGGAAAAACTTTACAAAGTGTTCTTGAACTACTACTTTGTCATGAATCCATTCTCCATCAACACATTCTCTAATTGCCGAGATTTTATTTCTCCATCTACGCGCAATAGTACTTAGGTGAAAGAAAGTAGTATTTTTATCACCATCCCGAATCCACTCAACCCTCGCTTTTTGATACCACAAGAGCTCTTCCTGTTTAAGCACTTCATCCAATTCAAGCCTTTATTTTGCTTCCAGCTTGATTAGGTCCCTTTATTTTTGTTGGGATAGGGATTTCTGTACACCTGCTATTCGTGCTAGGAGGTTTCTTTTTTTTTTTTGAAAATATTATGGAAAACTGATTTATTCCATTCCTGAAGGTCACTCGCAATTTCCCCCAGGTGAGGGACTAAAGGGGCTTGTTTATCCCATTTCTCTTCAATATACAACCTAAACTTTTCATTGGTCAACCATGCTGCTTGAAACCGAAATGGCTTGTTCACAGAGACAACCGGAGCAAAACCATTAGGGGAAATTAAAATAGGGCAGTGATCCGATTGAACTGCTGGGAGGACTTTAGAGGCTGAATTTGCAAACCTAAGACGCCTATCGCCATTACATAAAGCACGATCCAGTCTTGCACTAACTCTCGTACTGGGACTGTTTCCTCTTGCACTAATATCACTTGAATATATTTTATAATCTAATAAATCAAATAAGATCTCATATGAATATATTTTTACTCACAAATTTACGAGAATAATTGCACAATGAAGAGTTAAAGTAATAAGTGGGGCAAAATTAAGTATTGTTTTGTTTTCTCCTCAAAAATACTATTGTTATGTTTTAAAAATAAACTAGTATTCAGCCCATGCGATGCACGGGTTAAGTTTTTTACTATTTTTTTTCTTAAGCATTGTTCAATTGCATATTGAGATTGCTCCTTGATTGAATCTATGCCAAAATACATGTGTACATAAAGATTGTATTTTAGTAATTAGAAAGTAAGCATAATGCATGGAATCAATCTACACCTTTTGAAAAATTCTATAACATAGTAACATACAATAGCAAATACTTATACAATATTGGAAATCCAATATTTTTACAATGTAAAAGAAATTGGTACAATCTAAATAAGCATCCAACTATGACACTTATTCATCTTTATTATATGTCTCTCTTTTTATGGGGAAAAAAACAACAATTATAATTGACCTATACATCCCAAATCAGCAAATGAAATTGCAACTTGTAATACCGAGAACCCTAGAATAATTGATTTTCTCCCCAAATCACAAAATTGACTTTGACATTGTTATACTTATTGTAACACATGGTGTGACTGAAAAGAAGGTTGCACAAAATATAGGAAAATCAAACCTCAATAGTATTCCTCTTTGGATGAGTAATGTTGATTCAATATTTTGCATCTTTTTCTTCAGCGTCCTAAGTCATTCAATATTATGCAAGGAAATTATTATTAAATTGAAAGAAAACATATAAGATATATAGCACTAAAAGAATTTATTCTCCAATGTAATAATGATTTTGACAGTGATATACTATATCAATGTTTAAGCAAAATTATCCACATGAAAAACACCCACCAATGCTCCTCATTCACCTGCAACCCCAAACAAAATAGAGCAGACATCCCTAATATTCAAGTACCAAATAGAAATCAACCTATTAAATACAAAAATGCCATGTAATATAAGTAATAATAAATGAACAAAGCAATAGTTTTTGGTGAATAATTTTAAACATGATGATTTATACCTTCAATTCACCTCACGTCTTCGTTTGTAACCATAGTTACTTATATAATAAGCAGAGATTAATATTCAAGAAAACAAAAGGTGAATTGAAACTTAAGGCGTGGAAAAAAGATACTTCAATTGAGAACAGATTATGTTTTTGTATTTTCAATATTTTGGATTTTCCAAACAAAAGAATTGGATAAAATATCTTTATCTAATTGCTATGAAGTATGCATCATAAAATGAAATCTAAACTCTTTTCTTTGAGCACATGATATACTTGAGTCATATCCACTAGTATTATGCAATATAGATACTATAAATCAAAATCCACAACAAAACCAAACAAAAAAAATTACAGAATCCTCCTGCTTATATTTAACCCAAATAAAAACCTTGACAAACTTGCAATTCCATCATTCTAGTCGAAAGCCAAGCATAATTGTCAAAAAAATGATACTACTCATACCTTCGGAAATAATTGATTAAAATTTTAGAATCATGTAAAGCTTTTCACAATTTGAAACCTGTAAATCAACATGCATGAGTGAAATTGATTGGATATTAACTTATTAACAGAGTTAATTATTTTCTGAAAATATAGTATATCAAACATAAGAAAAAATAATCTGAAAAATAATTTCAGAAAAAATAAAAACGCTGATACAGTTTTATTTCAGAAGATTAAAAACAAAATTTTAAAAATCAAAGAACATTGATTATGCAATTGACATATAAATATACATTGAAAAATCATTACCAAGTAAAATAGTAAATTACAGAAAAAAGAAAAAAAAAAAAAAAAAAAAACCCTTTAAACTCGTGATATTAATCAGAGAAATGGCAAAATTAGTACAAATTATCTCATAGAAACTGTAAATTCGACGCATCTATGAACCCCGATTATCAGAACTTAAAATACTCATGAAAGAATTAAAAATTTCAAAGAAAATTAAACAACTATACTAATATTTTAAAACAGAAATTAAAGGGAATGGATATTACAACACACCATGAAAAAAATCAGAGAGATCGTCAGAGAGAAAAAGAGAATTGATCAAATACCAGTGACGAATTGGGGAATGATCAAACAGAAATTAAAGGGGAATGGATATTACAATATTGAAATAGGAAACTGAAACAGAATAGCGTCGTTTGGAAAACAGAGAAACAGATAAAGCTTGAAATTAATCGTGCGATTAAGGGTAGGGAAATAACAAACTTATAACTAACCTTGAGATACCAGACAGATCGTGAGAAGAAAGAAAGAGGATTGATAAGGATTTGGAATTGGGATATTGGAATCAATTAATCTGAGAATCTAAGGACAACCTTAATAAAAAAGAAGAAGAAAAAAAAATACAGAGAAGATAATATTGAATGAAGTTCAAGAATATTCCAAAGGTGAGATTCAGACCTTAAATTGAAATGTAGAAAAGACAAACTGAAATTGTTCAAAAGATGAGATGTATATATAAACTAACGAAGGGTAGTGTGAATAAACTGAAGAAAGATTGTTTAAAAACAAAAACTGAAAAAAATGATGACGTGGTATTCTAGATTTCTTTTAAATTTTCCTGTTTTAAAGTAATAGTATTGATTAAGAATAGTTTTGTTTTAAAAAAAAATAATAAGTACACTTTTGTTTTAAAAAAAAATTAAGTATAGTTTTGGAATGTTAAAGAATGCCAAAATGATCAAAAAAAAAAGAATGCAAGATTAACAAAGTAATACTCCGAAAATCAGATTTTCTTATGGAGTACCACTCGAGTATTCGGCGTATAAAATTATGCAACAACATCAAATTTCCAAATTCATGTTACAATATGAAGATATATTAATACAAATAATAATTAACAATAATAAATAAATAAATAAATAAAATAAAATAAAAAAAGAATAGAAGAAGAAGAAAGTAGACCTGTGAGAAAGATGGAAGTTACCCATATGATAGGGGGATAAAAGAGGGATAGTTTCAGAATCTGAAGCCATTTTTCATTTGGTACGGTGTTCTTCAAATCTACCTATGATATGATGAAAATTGAAACAGTATATTGTTGCAAATTGCAATGTCACCAACTTAATATAAATGTCAATATTTCATTTTAAAAAAAATGACAATATTAAGAGATGTCATCGAGGCCCACTGGCTATTTACCGTGGACTTTGCACAAACCTGCCAAAGAGTTGTTAGGAGATTCTCCTGTCATGGTAAGTGATTAAATGACATACACAAGACAATTTCATTTCGATTTGTTTACTTCTCCTTAATTACTCCGTAATAGGATTTGATTAGGAAAAATACATGTTTTTTTAAAATATTTATTTATTGATTGATTATTAAGTTAGGTGTTTTGGGTATCATTTCACACCGTAATAGGATTTGATTATGAGAAAATACATGTTTATCAACTATTTAGATTGTTATAAAAGTTAGCATTCCTTTGACATATGGGGGATTATTCTGTGTGGCTGGCCACACCGTGTGGCTGAGGATACTCGAGTTACTCTTGACCGAGTAATCCCTCATGCAATCCCTAACCGAACCCCTCGAATAACCCCTGACCGAGTAACCCCTCGAGTAACCCTTGACCGAGTAACTCGAGTAACCCTTGAACAAGTAACTCGAGTAACCCTGGCCACACGGTATGACCAGACACATATAAAAATTTATTTGGACATATTGGTTTAAAAGTTTCAATTACCACAAATGAATGTATAATTTAACTTCTTCAATGTAATTGATAAGTACAAAAAAATAATTTTTGTGACATTCAACTCTTGTTTCTCGTTGGAGCCCTTGGAGGGGGCGCTAAGGCGCTTACGATTAGACTTGATAAATGGGTCGTTCGGGTTGGGTATGGGTTGGGTTAATTTCGGATCAAGTCATTTTTGCTCAATTAACATTCGGGTCGGGTCGGGTCATTTCGGTTTTCAAGTATGGCTCGGGTTAGGTTTCGGGTCGAGTTCGTGTCGGGTCATTTCGGGTCAAACCATTTTCGAGTCAAGTATGTTCGGGTCAAATCAAAATCAGGCCATGTCATGTTCGGATTGTTCCATTTGTGGATTAAGCTCAAATCAATAATTTTATATTTTGTTATTGTTATAATAAGAACTATCAAATCGGTTTATGAGCTTAGTTACGGTTGAAGATGAATAATTTGAGTAATTTTTCGTACCAGACATTTTTAGTTCAATTATAAAGTAATTTTAGTTTGGGACATTTCGGATATCGGGTCTGTTCGGGTCAATTTCGGGTATCGAGTTTGTTCGGGTCAATTTCGGTTCAGGTCAGTTCGGGTGTTGGGTCAGGATCGGGTCAGGTCAATTTCGGGTTTCGGGTCATTTTCAAGTCGATGTTTTTGGGTCAATTTTGAGTCGGGTCATCGGGTCTGGGTCAGGATTGATAGGTCTACTTACGATACACTTCTTGTTGTTGTTGTTGTTGCTGCTGCTGCGGCGTTGCTATTATGTTATATGAATTTTACTTTTTTTTTCCTTATATTTCCCTTAATTAATGATGATCATTAAGAAGAAATAAACAATGGAAATTAAATTAAATCCTCTTTTCTTAATAAATGAAGTAAAAACTTGTTGTAGCAATCATGCTTACTTTGTCTATGGTTTAAACTTCAAAGTAATTGTATATGTTACAAAAATATTAAGGGACATATATGAACAACTATTTTTTAAAATATATATATAAACATTAAGAATCGTGTGGGAGGTGGAAATGAAGTTCATATAATCTAATCTAATCTAATCATATCACTAATAAATAAAGCTGGTTTTGTAGCCAGGTCACGAGACAGCGACACTTGACATTCCAGTTTTTCGTCAAGTGTCGCGCCACGTAGGCGACAAATATGTATTATTGTGATTAGATTAGATGTCACGTTATATTATATTGGATAGATTTGTTTAGGATAAAAAAGTATATATAAATTATAATTCTTTTGAAAAAAAATTATCTTTTTATTGACGATGAAATATTTACTTATAGCAACACACCACATATTATAATTAATATGAATATCCAATTAACAATAGAATTTTACTCCTATACGAATAACCGAGTAATTATACTTATAAATATGGCCATGGGTCATTATTTTTTTTTAGTTTACCATTGATTTAATTATAAATATGGTCATGTGTCATTAATTTTTTTTAGTTTACCATTGATTTACCATTAAAGCTTTTGAATCAAGTATTCTTCGTATTTGGTTGTAATATTTTTGTATATGTTTTTGATTTTGTTAATGAAATTAAAGAAATAAAAAAACTACTAAAATTAGGATACAACAGAAACTGTACAATACAGGATAATCTTGAAGTGTATTAAGATTAATGTTAGCAATGTCTTAGAATTTTACGGGTTTTCACTTAAAAAGCATTTCAATAATTTTTTATATTTATGCTAATCATTTTATTATTATTATTATTATTATTATTATTATTATTATTATTATTATTATTATTATTATTATTATTATTATTATTATTATTATTATTATTATTATTATTATTATTATTATTATTATTATTCTGCATTATAAAAAAGGTTTATTTGACCATATTTAACATTTAAACCAAAAAGTTTATCCTAAAATTTTATAAACAATGTGGGCATCGACCGGGCACAATACTAGTCACTAAAAAATAAAGCCGGTCTTATAGTCAGGCCACGAGATAGTGACACTTGACATTTCAGTCTTTCGCCAAGTGTCGAGCCATGTAGGCAACAAATAGATATTATTGTGGCACATATGATTATAATATCCATTTATAATATATTTAATTTATTTAAAAATTACGGAGTAATATAGAATCAATAAAAATAAGTTTCAATCAATAAATATCCTATTACTCGATTCTATTTGCATCATAAAATTCCTTTTAAAAAGTTCTTCATAAAATCTATTTATAATATATTTAATTTATTTAAAAATTACGAAGTAATATTGAATCAATAAATAAGTTCTTAAAAGAGTGCTAACTTTAATACCAATCTAGTTAATTGACCAAGCCTATATTTTTAATAAAGAGCATTTGTTTATCATTATCAAATGAAAAAGTTATAATTAAACCGAATAATTTTGGACTGTTTCAAAGTTAAGGGACTAGAATGCACAAATAACCTTGAAGGGCTGGGACGTATTTAGTCTTTACTCTTCAATTCAAGTTAATCAACCATCCTCCCAAAACATGAAAAAATTGAATTGATTGCAATCACCTAAACTAAATTTTGAAAAACAACAGTGTTAACACTCTTAGCAGAAGCTACAACCAACTGAAAATTCCAATGCTAAGATACTGCTTCCGCACTCTCTTTCTCTCTCCTCGCCATTTCCGGCGATGCATCCACTGGTCTCCCACCCACGAAACCAACCTCACCTCGCCGGAGCTACTCTCCCGCCTTTGCCGTCTCTTAGTCCTCCGCCGCTTCGACTCCGCTGCCAAACTCCCCATCAAATTTTCCGACGACATTATCATTGATATACTTAGAAATCTTCGCTTGAATTCTGATGCTTGTCTTGGGTTTTTCAGGTTAGCTTCTAATCACCAAAAGTATCGCCCAGGTTATAGATGTTATTGTAGAATTGTCCATATTTTGTCAAAGGGTAGGTTGTTTGATGAAACTAGGATTTATTTGAATGAACTTATTGATGTTTGTGCAAATACCCACTTGCCGATTCGTGTTGTTTGGGGTGAATTGGTTAGGGTTTATAGAGAATTTGGTTTTTCTCCTACTGTTTTTGATATGATTTTGAAGGTGTTTGCTGAAAAGGGGTTTGTTAATGATGCACTCTATGTGTTTGATAACATGGGTAAGTGTGGTCGTGTGCCGAGTTTGCGGTCTTGTAACAGTTTGTTGAGTTGTTTGGTTAAGGATGGGCAGTATGATATGGCTTTGTGTGTTTATGATCAGATAGTGAGGGTTGGAATCGCCCCGGATGTATTTATGTGTAGTATTGTGGTGAATGCATATTGTAAAGGTGGTAAAGTTGGGAAAGCAGTGGAGTTTATTAAAGAAATGGAGTGTTTGGGTTTGGAGCCGAATGTTGTGACGTATCATAGCTTGATGAATGGGTATGTTAGCTCAGGAGACATGGTAGGAGCTAAAGGGGTTTTGAACCTGATGGCTGAGAAGGGAATCGCTGGGAACATGGTCACTTTTACCATTCTGGTGAAGGGCTATTGTAAACAGTGTAATGTGAAGGAAGCAGAGCAGTTGTTGTTTGAAATGAAGGAATTGATGGTAGATGTTTATGCATATGGTATTCTGATAGACGGTTATTGTCAGATGGGTAAGATGGATGATGCTGTTAGAATCCGGGATAACATGTTAGGATCTGGTCTGAAAATGAATCCAGTCATCTGTAACTCCTTGATAAATGGTTATTGCAAAATTGGGGAAGTCAAACAAGCTGAGTCAATATTTTTACAAATGGTGGATTGGGGTTTGAAGCCTGATTGTTATAGTTTTAGTACTTTGATAAATGGGTATTGTAGAGATGGTCATATTCGTGAGGCTTATGTTCTTTTTGACAAGATGATCCATGAAGGGGTTGAACCCACTGCTGTTACATACAATATTCTTCTGAAAGGTTTATGTTGTGAAGGAGCACTAGATGATGCTATGCAGGTTTGGCGTTTGATGCTGAAAAAAGGTGTGAGACCAAATGAGGTCAGCTATTGCACTTTGCTTGATGGATTCTTCAAAATGGGAAGGGTAGACGAGGCTTTTAGACTGTGGAAAAAGATTTTAGCAAAGGGGTTAGCCAAAAATAGTATTACATTTAACACAATGTTAAATGGTCTGTGCAAGATAGGGAAAATGGCTGAAGCAGAGATGATTTTCAAGAAGATGATCGATCTTGGCTGTTCTCCTGATGGGATGACATATAGGATCCTTAACGACGGCTATTGCAGAATTGGACATGTTGAACAAGCTTTTAATATTAAAGATATGATGGAGAAAAATGCAATTTCACCATCTATTGAAGTGTACAATTCTCTTATTGATGGTCTTTTTAAAAGTGGAAATTCATCTCAGGTTCCAGGTCTTGTTACTGAAGTGCATGAAAGGGGTGTATCCCCAACTATTGTCACCTATGGTGCCCTTATTGCGGGTTGGTGCAAACAAGGATTGTTTGATAAAGCATTGAGTGTGTACGAGGAGATGCTAAAGAAGGGGCTCACACCAAATTTATCTATTTGCTGCTCTCTGGTTAGTGGGCTTTACAAGTTTGGTAGGATTGATGAAGCAAATAACTGGCTGCAGAAAATGGCTGACTTAATTTCTCTAAGTTCTGGAACATTTGAGGAGTTTTGGACAGCAGACCAAATAAACCTAGATGAACGCAACATTAGAGATTCTATTGACTCAAGTTTTAAGAGTCTACTACCTAATAATGTCATCTATAATTTGGCTATATTAGGGCTTTGCAAATCTGGGAAGCTTAAAGATGCAATGACAATGTTCTCAACTTTATTGAAGAGAGGGTTTGTGCCAGATAATTATACGTACAGCGTTCTGATTCATAGACATTCTATTGCTGGCAGTTTAAAAGAAGCTTTTCAATTACGTGATGACATGCTGGAAAAGAATTTAGTTCCAAATATTACTATCTATAATGCTCTCATCAATGGCCTGTGCAAGTCCAGAAACCTGGATCGTGCTGTAAGACTTTTTCAGAAACTTAAACGGAAGGGCTTAGTTCCTAATGTTGTAACCTATAACATTTTAATTAGTGGGTACTGCAATTCTGGCAATACAAATGAAGCAATAAAACTCAAGCACAGAATGGAAGAAGAAGGCATTGTTCCTTCTGTCGTCACCTATTCCACCCTAGTTAGTGGTCTATGTAAGAAAGGAGATATTGAGAAAGCATTGGAGCTCTTGGACTATATAAATAATGCCATTGAGGATACTGAGCTTAGTTCTTATCATGCTATAGCTCTGAATCATGTGAAGAGTTGTAACATAGAGAAGATCACTGAACTTCATGGGGCATTACAGAGCAAGCTCCACTTTCCTGACATTGAGTATGCAAATGAAGATGACTCTGTAAAATCGTTCAGATGCGAGGAACAAGAAATCCTCAATGAAAAGGACACACTAGTGACTGCTCTTCATTAATCTATGTGAAGAGCAAAATCACATTGGAGAGGTCTTCATTTCCTACCACCACTCTGCTTCATTAAGATCATAACTATTCCAGTAAGGGGACAGGCAATCAAAATTTCAATTTCTACGTGTTATTTTCTTAGATTTACTCACAGAATACGTGTAGTAATTCATTTGATCCTGCTACTATGATTTGATTTTTCTTTCTTGATGATAACAATTTTATGATCTATACCAGGTGAAGCTTAGGGTGCGGGTGCCCCCAACTTTCCCAAATTGAAGTCTTGCCCCTCCCAAATCGTCTAGTCTATTGGAGGTGAAGTTCCCAGAATTCTCAAATTGAGGCTTTGAGCTTTGGGTTTTCATTACTGATTTACCTTTTTTATGTATATTTCTTACATGTTTCATCTTAAAGCTCTTAAAATATATACATGTATGTTTTATGCTTGTATATGGTATTTTCTTGTACAAATTCACAATTGTAATAAACCTTAATTCTTACTCTTCTGTTAATTTTGAATTAGCTAGCTAATTTTATAATGAACAGTTTCGTTATATTCTTGTTCATCTGAATAGCTATTCTCCATCCTCTTAAGTTTTAAAAGCAATCCCCAATCGCTACTCTTTCAGATATCAAATATCCTCCCACTTCTCTAGTTGCCCCTCCTTCCTCTCTTACTCTCATTATCTTATTCCTTACTTTGCTTTCTCTATTAATCACTCCTTCCCCACTCTCCTCTTCTTCATTGCGCTGCTCGCAATATCTCATGCTCTCCTCTTCTCTCTCCCTCGACTTTTTCCATTGTCATTGGCCCATTGCCTTTTGTCCTCGACAATGGGAAATTATTGCCTATGGCTTAGGTGGTCTCTTTTTGTGCCCTTTTTTTCTACACATATTAGGTGGTTCCTGCTTAATATCCTGCCTTAATGTTTACTATAACTTAATACTCCCTCCGTCCCACAATGTTTTTTAGATTTCCCTTAATATTTTTCATCATTCTCTTTTAAGTTGAAAACAATTTCTCTTTCCATATTTTTACTTTTTCTTATAAGAAATCTACTTCTCTTACCATTTTATTTTAAAGTTAAGAATGTTCAAATCTTCGGAAATCTCCTTCCTTTCTTATTAAGTTATTATAGGTGGATTTTTTTTATTATTTTTTTTATTTTTTATTGGTATCACCTTGATGAAGTTTCACAATCACTCCTTGATAATAATTCTTGGTATGATTGTCCAGGCCAAGAGTATAGCATTTTTCGCTTTCCATTGACTAGAAATTATAATCCAAGAACCTTTTGCTGGGTGACAGGATTCCCAAGGACTACTTATGCAGGACCTAATCTGGAGGCCTTGGAGAGAGGTGACAAGGCTTGGCCAAAGCCCGAAGATTAAAAAGCCTGGTCAAGCCAAGAAGGTTATTCCTTTCCTTTGTTGTTGTTATTTTTTTTTTTTTTTTGTTTTTTTTTTCTTCTTCTTTGAAGAGATATTCATATTACTTTGAGGGCTTTATAGGCTTAGTAGTTTTAATGGTTTTATCATCAATGGTGATGTAGGTATTATTTGGACTTGAGTGAATATCTTTTTGATGATCTACTGTGTGTTAGTTGGGTCTTTGGGATGTCAGAAGGGTAGTTGATTTTATGGAATTTGAAATTGAGGGTTAATATGGAAGCAGAATAAAATTATGCCAGCTGACCTTGTGGAAGTACAGGAGTTTAAGGCAATTCAAAGAAGTGCAAGCTTAAGCTGAGGCCTGAGGCAGTAGGTTGACATTAATTATTTTTAAATGGGGGCTATTTTAAAGATTGTTTCTACTGATCAAGGAATATTGTTATGCTAACTATATCAGATAATTTAGTATATGCTTTTGCTAACATAGTTATGTTTCTTTGCTATTCAGCAATCAAGTTTTAAGTTTGTGGTTTCATTAAGGAATTTTTTATTTTGACCTTTTTCTCAAGAAACCCATGTCTGTTGATGCTAAAGTAGTTGGTGTGTGCTTCAAGGAGGATATATAAGATGGCGTTCTTGGTTCTTTTATATAAGTAAAAATTTGATAATTCTTTGCTCTTGGATATGTATTGAGAAAATATGTCTCGTTTTACAGAGTGAACACTTCCTCTCAAGCCTGTGCTAGATCTGTTTGCATTTTGCAGAATGGGGGAATATCTTTACACTAAAGTACTAAACTGCTGAAGGTGCAGATTCTTTGTTTTCTATGAAAGCTAGCTGTGAATGTTACTTTATCATCTTAAATTATATATGCTAAATGCAGTATTGCCTCATTCTTTCTTTTGATAACGCATTTTCACATATCCACTCTGGAGGAGTCCAGGTGCTTTGTTAACTCTAAAATGTTTGCTTGTTTGTTATTTAAGGTGTTGAAGAACTGAACTTTGTAAACACTTTATCACCGTTGTTTGCCTAATAATTTCAAAATAACGGAGAGAAAAAATGTGGATCATGCAAAAGATAGGAATATCCTTAGTCACTGTGACACTCTGTGTATCTGCAGATGATAGTCTTGTTGCTTATGAAGTTTTCTGTTCATCATCGCACTTGTTGAATAATATGTTTCTGCTGCAACTGATGTGGACATTCTTCAAAGGATATCCATGCAGATATATGGATTGTTTCACATAGGTCAGATTTTGTATCTGGGCTCTTTTAACTTTTTGTTTCAGAAAACGATTGGCTGCTATTGAGAGAAAAGTAATAGAGCGGGCATTTAAGCTTCTATTGCTGATGAATTGAGAAATTCAAGGGTACCAAATTTAAAAACGCTGTAGCAAGATCAACCGTGCTCTAAATTGTGCTCAGTTTCTAATGAATTTAGTTATGGCTATCATGCCATAGACTTTTTGGTCACATTAATGGTTGCCTTTTGCTGTAGCCAGGCTCTAGTCCCCAGCGGCACTAGCACTCTGCCTAGTATTGAGGTGGGCTAGTGTCTTCAGGTCTTAACCCATCAATTAGGATATATTTTAAATTTCCTCGTCTCTTTCTGTTATTTCCTATGAGAGATGGGACATCTTCATGGAGCCTCTCTCTATTTGCCAGAGATGAGTGAGTGGGAGCGAGATGCAAAGCTTTTAACTATAGAGATAAGCTAGTGGCTTCATTTCTTACTAGATTTTTGCAGCTACTGTCATTAGTAGAAGAATTGACTATTCAAAGGTTTGACAAATATTGGGTGACTATTAGTCTATTACACATGTGTATACTGTTTTGCTGTCAATTTATCCTGCCCGTCCTCTTTCCATTCAGTGGAGCAAGGTTTGTCTATGTCAGTTTGAGCACTGTGCTTACTGCTGAACAATTGTTTTGGATTTTGATATTTTCTATCTTCTGGTTTCTATGTCCATAAGCAAGCAAGTTTATCCTAGTGATTGGTGTATTCCATTAACGTGGATATGTATGTTCATTTTTTGTTTCTGATAATATCTTTTGCTGTCTTTCATCTCTGCTGCTTTAAAGGGCATGAAAGAAATGCTCTGAGATTGTGGCTTGCACCTGGTACCGTGGCACAGCAAGCTCAAGTGAAGAATACAGCTCTTGTTATACAGGTATGGTGAACTTACCATCTGCGAGCAGGGACTTAGTGCTGGAAGTATTTGCTGAAGACATTAAGAGCGCATGGCCGCTTGGGAGTTGGGACAACCAATGATTGTGCCTTCGACATATCTATATTTTTTGGGTATAGGTGCAAGTCATGTAACCATTGAATCTTAGTTGATTTGAGGCCATACCTTTTATCAGCATATTCTTAAGAGTTAAGACCCAGGTTGGCGCATAGAACTTTGCTCATCTTTTGCAATTTCACTGCAAATATTAGTTCTATCTGTTTAACTTTATGGTACAGCGTTAGCTTTTAGCCACTTATTTGATAAGCTTGATGTAATTTTACAGTTATTAGCCTTAATACATTATACTCCTTAGTTTCAAAATACATGCTCACCTATAGGAATGACAATGTGCGGGGCAGGGGGGATTTTGGTCTCCCCATCACCATGGTAAGCGCGAAATTCATTCACATCTCAGCCCTGTAGGTTATAATTATCCTCGCCCACCGCTTAGTATCCATCTCAAACTTGACCCATAATACTTGCACATATATATATATGTGTTCAATAAAACTTTGTACATTTGTTACAGATAAAACATCATGGTTTAACAAATTTCAAAACCAATTTTATTCTTGAATGTTGGACAAGGTTTTTTTTTTTTTTTTTTTACTTTTTGATAAAAAAAAAGTAAGATTCATGAGGCCATGGTGGAGATTAGGTACATCTTCTAACAAGATCGTGACCTAATCTATCAAGGAGTAAAAAATAAGAAAATCTATAACTATATGCTAAAGGTGAAACCGTGGATAGAAATTTTCCCTCCAACACTTTTTAGATTTTTAATTTTTAATTAATTTATTTATTTATTTATTTTTTAGCCAAAGCTTCTTAGAGAAGTATTATACTTACTATACAATAACATTTCTTTTCCTATTTGGTAAGTATAGTATATTCTATTCATACACATTCAACAAAGATATTATTCTTTTATACAATACTATGTAAAATATTTTCTTATCTAAACTTTGTGATGTAATTGTAACCCATAGTTATTTTTATTAGTCATGCATGTATTTCTCCCTCTGTTTTCTTTAGTGTAATATAATTTTTTTTTAAAAATTTTGTAATTAAAGAACTTTCATCCTATTTTACAATTAAATATAAATTTATATAGTTAATAATAATGTTAAACTAATGATAAATATTAAAATTTACCATGCATGACACAGGACCTAACCTAGTTAGAAAATAATACGAAATAAGGATTAATAAAAGTGAAACGATCGAGTTGGGATTAATAAATTTAAAATATATGGAATGACAGAAATTCGTCTAAAATTATTACTTACAAATTGACATATCAAGATATTTAAAGTTGCAGCGCATTTTTGTATAACATGCCACACAGTGAGGCATGCTGTCAAGTCAGCATAAATAACGGGATTTCAACGCGCATAACGGGGCTTGATTTCCAAAAAAAGAATCTTGGATTGGGATTATCATCTTGTTTTTCAATCTCAACATGATTGAGCAAAATAAAGGAACAATCCAAAATACGACTAGATATCATCTCCTTAGTCAACAGTGTTAAGAATTCTTCATGAGGTAGGGAATAGAATTTATCGAAATAAACAATAATTTCCCTGTTAAAATAAAATAAAATATTAGAGTAACCAATATAATAAGTAAACCAACAACTAAATTCAAGTAACCCCTAATTCAAAGTAACCCATATTAATAGAAACTAACTCCTAATTCCAAGTAACTCCTAATTTCAAGTAACCCCTACTTTCAATAACCTATTTTAAAACACACAAAAACAGAATACAAAAACAAGGAACCCATATTATAAGTAACCCCTAATTTCAAGTAACCCATATTATAAAAGTCATAAAAATAAAATACTTACGACATAGAAAATAATCCAGAGTAATCCTCTACAAAACAGTAGTCAGCAACCGCCAGCCTCACACTCCTCATCAATGACATTATTTTGCTGTTAGATCTCATAAATTTGCTATTAACTGTAATTTATATTCACCAGGAATTCCACAGTCAATATCACAACTAATAAATTCAGCACTTTGCAAACAACTACTAACACCACTAATTTCAATTTTCTTCTCACCATCATGCATTCCATCATCAGCAAATTTCTTTTTTAAAATCTCCATGGATTCTTCAGGAGTTCACCCACAAACAAAAGAAGTTAATACTTCTTTCCTTTCTCTCTTCTTTCCCTTGTTTTGACTGGGTGGCTTTTTTTGAGCTGGCTTTTTTGGAGCTGATTCAACTGACTTTTTGGAGGAAGGCTTAGAGGGAGGGGCTTGTTGAGCAAGCTTATTAGAGGAAGAGGCAACAACAATTCCTGTTTCCTTTCCTTGACCTCTTTATTCTTCAATCCTCTGAACTTCTCTGATTTCTTCAGTCCATTCTTGACTTGAAAGCTGAACAATAGGTTCAAGATTTTCCTGACTATTCTCTTGACTTGAAAGATGAACAACAAGGTCAAGATTTTCCTGAGTATTCTCTTGACTTGAAAGATGAATAACAGGATCAGTTGGAAGTAATTCTTGAGTTGAAAGATCAGCAAGAGTCTCAAGACATCCAAAAATATCTTAAGTTGAAAGAACATAAATATTCTCCTGAGTTGAAAGAACATCAATATTCTCTTGAGTTGAAAAAGTTGATACAGGAGGACTGTACAAAACGATAGCTAAAGGATTGTTATCATTTGCAAGAACATGTTCAGGAACATAAACCTCTTCAGCTTCAACATCTTCATCTTGAATTTGTTCAGTAGGAGTAGCAGGTGGCTCAGTAGGAACAGAAACACTCTGAACTTCTCGCTCAGTAACAGAAACACCCTAAACCTCAACAGCTTGAATTGGATCAATAAGAGGAGTATATACTTCTTCATTAATAGACAGCAAAACGTCTTCAATTACTGATTTTGCATGAGATGCACCCAACGAATCATCAAATACCTCTTCAGCTTGAATTGGATTAGCGACATCATTTTTAATGATATCACCAAAACCACTAAGAGCAAACTGACTTGGAGGTGTTTCAAGTTCTAGATTAGAACAAGAAAACAACTTGAATGCAGGCAAATCATCTATCACCTTCTTCATTAAAACACCCTGATTTTTAATCTTGTCAATTTGTTCCCAAAATGATGGATCATTAGAAATGGGATCTAACTGAGAAAGAACCGGGGACTTATCCTTTTCAGAATGTTGAAAATCAACTTCAACCAATTCTGATTGCTTCTTGATCGAATCAATGTATTGTTCGAGTTGATAGCACATCAACTTCATATCCCTCTACATTAACATAAGCTTCTCCTCAACACCCTACAAAAATATTAACAATTCATCAATATATAAACAAGTAACCCCCTCAAAAAGCTCAATCCATCAAATAAACAAGTAAAAATTAACCCAAATATTAACCCCAATCCCCCTTAATTATAACTTAAGTAACCTCATAATTGTAACGTAAGTAACCCCATAATTAAAACTTAAGTAACCCCTTACCCTTTATAACTTAAGTAACCCCATAACTATAATTATAACTTAAATAAACCCTTAACCTTCATAACCCAAGTAACCCCATAATTATAATTTAAGTAATCCCTTACCCCTTTATAACTTCCTAAACCCTTTATAACTTAAGTAACCCCTCAACCTTGTATAACTCAAGTAACCTCTTACCCCTATAACCTTTATATCTTAAGTAACCCCGTAATAATAACCCCTTAACCTTCATAACTCAAGTAACCTGGTAGGAGGTGTTTAAGCACGTCGTTAAATGCTTAAAACCTTAGCAACAAAATTTATAACACTCAACCAAACCTAAACCGAGAATAGGGAAAATCGAGGGTCGAACCACGAGGAATGGGGGATCAATCACTATAGTCTATGTGTTAAGCTATTTCGAAGAGTGTATGAATGTGTAGTCAAGAAGGCTAATCAAGCCAAAGCAAATATCGTATTAAAAAAATCAATATCAAAAGCACTAGGGATTAGGATCCACATACAATCATGATGGTTATGCCAATTAAGGGAAATCAATCAACCAAATGTTGTAAAGGAGGATAGTAATTGCAATCAACCAAATGTTGTAAAGGAGGATAGTAATTGCAATCAAGAGAACTCAAAGGATTATCTCCTAGAAGTCAAACCAGGTTTCCTCTATGAATGACTAGCAAGAAGAATCGCAAATCAAATTCAATCAATAAATGCAATCCATAAATCAATGGTTCGTGTCATTAGAAATCACAATGCAATCTAGCTTGAAAATCAAGGTTGATCACTCCTTAACAATTCAACCACATGCACAATTCTATCAACCAATTTAATCACAACATTCAATCAATCAAAATCCATCAATTAGCAATAATCCATCATTCATGCATGTTTCACCATCTCCCTAGCAAGGAGTCTACTCACTAAGCATATTGAAATTGAAGAACAAAACTAAGTAAATCACAAACATCATCATCTTAAACTAAATCAAGTAAAATTCAAATCAATCAAACCACTAACCAAAAGATCAACAAATCAAGCAATCATTCATGAATCAAAAGCAAATTCAAGCAATGGAGAGGAATTCAAGGAAGAAAATCTCACTAATTATCATTGGTTGAAGGAAATCCAAACTTGATTGAAGCAATTGTTGAAGTACAAATCAAAATCCAAGAGTTTCTCTCTCTAAAATCTAAAAGCTCCCCAAACTAACTCTAAAACTTCTCTCTCTAGCCTTTCTAAGGACTCAATGAATAATTCTCTCTCTAGAATAACTAACTAAGGGGAAATAAAGTAGACGTGGTAAAAGAAACCCGTACAGGCGCGTCCTTACTTCGGAGTGCGCGGCCGCAAAGAAAAGGGTACAAAAATTGGGAACTCAGGTGGCGCACTCGCGGGCGAGGGTTACGCGCCCGCGCCACCTGCCTGCGCGCCCGCGCCCCTGGAGCAGTGGATCTCCTTCGTGCGTTCTTCAATGCAAGAGGTGCGCTCCTCTTGATCGTCATTGGGGATGGCAGTCCCAAAATGAGTTTACGGTGGGTTCAACACCATACTTTCATGTGAGCGCAGCATGAGGGCGCAAGCATCAAGTCTTGGAGTAGGCCATCCCTTGTTTCCTGAGCTATATGAGAGCTTCCACCTTGCACTTGAGCATCTTCTAATCCGAGGAATCACCATGAAGGGCCTTGGAGTTCACCTTAGA